TTTGTTTTTACTGAGACTTTATGTTTTTCTTCTTTATTTTGTTGAGTAGGTTTGTTAACTTCTCTGTGGTTAACCTTGAAATTTTCCCTTATCTTCATAGGTTTGAACCAGTCTGTTATTAGTCGGAGAGGAAGCCTTGCCTTCCTCTCCATTAGAAAGTTCTATATCTATACCATTTATTCCCTCTTTTATTGTTCTAATGTTGTTCTTATTTACAGATTAACCTCTCTGATTCCCTGTTGTAAATCGTTTAGTTTTGAATACTCCTTGAGAGTTCATTTCCTAGGTTGGTATCTGGATTTCATTCAGTGCTTGGCTGAGTTCTTTATCTCTTCATTTGATGCTTAGGGTTCCAGGATTGACATTTGTCTCTGTTTTACTTAGTTTTTCAGGTCTTTGCTGTGGAGGGACGGCATGGTGCTTCTGTGTATAGCTCCATGTTGGCTCCACCTCTGAATTTGAATTCTTGTTCTACATTTTTCTCCTGCTCTGTCCAGGACCTTCTATTGTGATCCCAGTCAGAGCGGTCACTAGTGGTAGCTGGGCACCATCTAGTTCTTCTGGTCTCAGGGTTATGTAGGCTGTGGTGCATGTGGTCCATTAGTCCTTTGGACTAACTGCTCCCTTGAGTCTTTGGTTTTCTCCACTCTCCTTTACTCCAGATGGAAAGAGACCACTAGTTGTATCTTAGATGGCCGCTCGCAAGCATTTAAGACCCTAGACGCTACTCAACAAAGTAAAATGTAGAACAATGTTTGCTTCATATATTTTGAAGCTTTGTTAATAGGTGCATAAACATTTAGGACTGTTATGTCCTCTTGATGAATTGACCTATTTATCATTTTGAAATGAACTTCTTTATTCCAGGTAATATTCTTTGCTCTGAAATCTACTATGCCTGATATTAATACACCTACTCTAGCTTTCTTTTAATTAGTGTTAGCATGGTATATCTATTTCCATCCTTTTAGTTTTAACGTATATGTTTTTATATTTAAAGTGTGTTCTCAATAGAGAACAGAGGACTCCCTGAGATTATCACCCTGAGACACTCTTTAAACCTAGAACTGAGGTTACCCCCTGAGAGCACCTTTTAGTGAAATAGCAAAGGGGCACACAAAATGAAAGATATTACCCATAAGATCAGTGCTCTACTTAAAAACCATCAGTATGAGACCAAAAGGTCAACAATTAACTCAAAAGCAAAGATGAGAAGATAAGAGGCAGGCAAATGAGAGTATTGGAAATGGAAGGAACAGAACATAGTTAAAGAGAATGTTGACACATTATTATAAATGTTACTAATGTCACTGAACAATTTGTGCAGAAATTGTCAAATGGGAACCTAACTTGCTGTGTAAACTTTCACCAAAAACTTAATAAAATATTTAAAAACGAAAAGTGTGTTTCTTATAGGTAGCATATATTGAGTCTTGCTTTTTATCTAATCTGACAATCTCTTGTCTTTTAATTAGAGTATTTAGACTATTTACATTTGTTATGATTATTGATATGCGTGAGTTTTGCTATTTATTTTCTTTTTGTCCCATCTATTCTTTGTTCCCTTTTTCCTCTTTTTTAATTGAGTATTTTTTATTCCATTTTATCTCTCTGTTGTCTTCCTAGCTATAACTCTTAGTTTTACTACTTTAGTGATTCCTTTAGAGTTTATAGTATAAATCTTTAACTTATCATAGTCGAACTTCAAGCAATATTGGTATATAGTACTTTCATTTCTCCCCTCCCAGCCTTTTTGCTATTGTTGTTATACATTTTTCTTCTACATATGTTATCAACCCCACACATTATTATTGTTTGTTTTTTACACATTTTAAATATGTTTTTAAAGAGATTTAAATAACAAGAAAAAGTCTTTTATATTTACCTACTTCGCTACCATTTCCAGAGCTTTTCACTCCTGTGTAGGTTCGTATTTCCATCTGGTAATATTTTCCTTCTGCCTGAAAGCCTTTCTTTAGCATTATTTCTTGTAATGCTGGTCTGCTGCTGATGAATTCTTTCAGTTTTTACATGTTTGAAAAAGCCTTTATTTTACCTTCATTGCTTAAAACATATGTTTTCTGAATATAGGATTCTAGGTTGACAAGTTTTTTTCTTCAGTACTTTAAAGATGTTGCTCCGCTGACTTCTTGCTTGCAATTTCCTGCACAAAATCTTCTGTCATACTATACTTTATTCCTCTATTCATAACATATATTTTTTCCTCTGGTTACTTTTCAGATTTTTGTCTTTATCACTAGTTTTGAGCAATTTGATTATAATATTCCTTGGTATGATTTTCTTCATAACTGTTCTGATTTCTTGTCTGCTAATTCTAACATCTGTCAGTTCTGGGCTGGTTTTGATTGATTGACTTTTCTCTTTCTTATGGCTTGTATTTTCTTGCTTCTTATACACTAGGTAATTTGTATTGGACCCCATACATTGTGAGTTTTACCTCATTGGATACTGGATATTTTTGTACTCCTACAAGTATTCTTGAGTTTTGTTATGGGATGCAGTTAAGTTACTTAGAAACAATTTGATTTTCTAACATCTAAGATTTGTTAGGTGATACCAGAGCAGCGTTTATTCTAGGGCTCATTTTTCCCACTATTGAGGCAAGGTTCTTCTGAGCACTGTATCCAGTGCCCCTTGGATTATGAGGTTTTCTAGTCTGGCTGGTGGGAGCAGGCACTATTCCTGGCTCTGTGTGCGCTTAGGTTACTGTTCTGCTAATTTCTTCAGGCGATTCCTCACCGCCCCCGCCCCCGGCATCAGGTAGGTGTCAGGTAGTTTCTTCACACTCATGCACTGATCAATACTATTCTTGAGGAGGACCCTCTGCAGATCTCGGGAGTTCTCTCCTCTCTGGTTCTCTGCCCTGCAAACTCTTGCTGTTCACCAAGAACTTTCAAGTTCACAGAGCTCCATCTAGTTTCCCCCATCCCTGTGCCACAGCCTGGAAATTCTCTCAAGACAGTAAGCTTGGGTGATTATAGGACTCACCTCATTTATTTACTCTCTCTCAGGAATCATAGTCCTTGGTTGCCTAATGTCCAATGACGTGAAAACTGTTCTTTCACATATTTTTCTGGTTGTTTAGTTATTTCAGGTAGAGGGCCAAATGAGTTACTTTTTTCCATGCCTAAAAAATTAACAATTAGCCTTTAATAATATATTTGATCAGTGTTCAAGTTTCTAGTTATTAGATAAATGTCATAAATTATTTCTTATCGTTTGTGTGTTTAAATTCAAATCCAAATATAGTGTACATGTTGTGATTAGTTCATGTTCTTAAGTTTCTTTTACTTGCTTATGCTGTTTTTAAAAAAATTTTTATTGTGGATATATATATAACATAAATATATATGTACACATATATAATTGTCATTTTAACCATTTTTAAGTGTAAAATTCGATGACATTAATTATGTTCACCATGTTGTGCAGCCATCACCACTATTTCCAAAGTTTTTCATCACCCCAAATGGAAACTCAGTACCTCTTAAGCAATAACTTCCTGTTCCCCCCTCCTCCCAGCCCTTGGCAACCACTAATAAATTTTTGTATCTATGTATTTGCCTATTCTAGGTATTTCATATAAGTGGGATCATACAATATTTGTCCTTTAGTGTCTGACTTATGTCACTCAGCATAATGTTTAAAGGTTCATCTATGTTGTAGCACGCATTAGAACTTCATTACTCTGTAAGGCTGAATAATATTCTACTGTATGTATATACCACACTCTATTCATCTGTTGCTGGCAAATGATTTAATAGGAGCACTCTGGCTGTAGATTAAGAATAGTCTGAATGGGGAGAAAAAGGAAGAAGCAAGAAGAATGACATTGATGGGGATCTTGGTGGGGTTCAGTATGGCCACGGCAGGGAAAAGCGGAAAAGCTGCCTAGAGGTGAGGCTGAGAGGCAGCAGAGGCTCAGAGATGCCCAGCTCTAGCCCAACAATGGGGAGCTTTTAAAGAGAGACAGATTCAGAAAAATCACTCTGACTCCAGTGTGGGGAAAGAATAGTTGGGACTGAGGCTGGGCACCAGGAGCCTACGTAGGGGCTTGTGTGATCATCCAGGTGAGAAGAGATGATGACAGCAGGGCCTTTGTAAGACTTTCATGGGCCTCAGGCCTTCTTATATTGCAAGACTCTACCCCACTACATATTAAGCATCTTAAAATGTATTCCATGTTCTACATTAAATGCCTTTTTGATTGTAATATGTTGAATACCTTTTTATAATTTGTACAATTCTGAGTTTTCTAAAGTACAGATAATTCATTCTATTCTTAAAGACTTGAACTTTACACACACACAGCATGAGGTTATAAGTTGTAAATATTTAATTATTTTTATATTGTGGTTCTTTTTTTTGAATCTATATGTATATATTATGTCTCAGACATTTCTGTAGGCCTTTGAAAAATCTCATAGGCCCTGGGTACTGTGCCTGCGGAGCTCTTGGATGGCAGTAGTGGGAATGGAGAAGGAAAGAAATTAAACAGCAAGGACTGGCATACAATTGGGGATCAGGGGAAGGAAAGCTAGAGAGTCATGGCTAACTGCCTGGCTAGCTTGAGCATAGCCATTTGCACAGATGGAGAAACAGGAGAAGACATAAGTTGTAGGAGGAAAGATAAACTCTATTAGGGACAGGAAGACAAATACTCTCCTATCAGGAGGTGAAGTAAGACAACAAGGATGCCAAATTTCTCTCCTTCCATTATAGCACACTTCATCTTGGGTTGGCATGAAAGATGTGAATAATTAATACATGTCTCTGCTGATGTCCTCACTAATATGAAGAGCGTATCTTAGTAGTGTGGTCCAATCCTGTGATAAATAAGGAAAGTGCCAGTCTCTGGAATAAATAATCCCTTTGGGCTGTTGTGCTGGAGAAAATGGTGTGCTGTCTTTAGGTAGCTTCCCTTTTTTTTCAAAGTGCCTTTGCTTCCTTCCTTTATCAGCTTTTTAGAGTCTCACAGAAATTCCCAGTGCTACCTTTTGTGATGTCATCCCTTAGAGGAAGTCGGACCCAGAAGGTGAAGCGACCCATTTATACACGAAAGGGACCACTGGAGGTGCCCTCCCCATCAGAGAAGGACTGGTCTAAGGCTGATGAAGAGGATTATGGGTTCAATGATCTGGATCAGGAGCAGGATTGCCTGCCTCAGCCTTATCGGATGATCAACAAGCTGGTAAACCTTCTGGTTGACCGGTCATGGGAAATTATTGAGGAGAGGGAAGCCTCAAGGGAAGACAAGCTCAGTCAGATCCAGCCCACCATCTACTCTCCACTTGTAGAAATCAAGGTAACTATCAGCAGGCTGAGACCAGGAGTCTCTGTTTCTCAGTTGAGTGTTAATAAATGAAAACACCTGATCCAGGGAAGGCCTTTCCTATCAAAAACCTTCACTCAATAAGGTGGGCACCATTTTGAAAGATTATAGACATGCTAATGTTACTTTGAATGGATTTGGTAATTGCCTGAGGAAATGGGGTATTCTGGTTAACTGAAGATTATATAGAAGACCTTTTTTATTCAGCTGTTAACTATTGAAAGTTTTTTCTGAATGTATTAACCCACTCTTTCTTGATGGATGAGAATCTGCCAGTGCCTCAGCTATCACTCTTCCCACAGTGTTCTAGATGAAATAAAGTACAGGGAATAGGCCATTTATCCACGTATCACAGGGCCTATGTTAATGCTTAGTGTTGTGAATGTGTATTTGTTCTCAACTTCTTGGTTTTCTCTGGCTTTTCATCTAAAAGTGGAATGTGATGAATTTCTTGATGCTTGGGTAAGAGATTTCGATGAGCAGTATGTTTGGGGATGGTATTATATCTAGGAAGGGCCCTCATCCCTCTTTGAAAAGTTCCTCATATTATTTGAAGACAGTGATAACTGAAAATCATTCCTTTTTATTTGTTTGTTTTTGTTTTCCCAGCTCAGCACAATGCCAAATTGCATAGCTATTTCCCAAGACTATATGTTTATTGGAGGAGCTAGAGGATTCTCAATCTATCATCTGTACAATGCCAAACGAATATGTGCTTGGGAGAAACTTAAAGTTGATGTCACTTCCATCTGGGCCACAGATTTGGGGAGTGAAATACTTATTGCTACTGTGGATGAAATGGGTACTTGTCCTTCACTGCCCCTTTTAGCCTAACTATGAGTTGGAGTTGACGGCAGTGGGTTTTTGTTTTGATGGTGAGATTATGGAGAAGAAAAGAATGCAAGGATTGTAGACTGTTGTTCAATTTAATATCCTTTCCAGTTAAATGGGTGGGACTAGTCATGGAAAGTTCTCCCTCGTCACATAGTAGTAACTAACCCATATGGAGCAAGTATAGTGTGCCAGGCACTAGTCTAACATTTCCCACGTTAGCCCATTTCATCTTCACATCACTCCTAGGAGGTGAGTACAAGTAATTATCTCTATTTTTCACAACAGGCAACTAAGACAAGGAAGTTAAATAATTCACTTGAGGTACCATAGAAAGTAAGTGGCACAGGTAGGATTCAGACCAGGCAGTGTGGCCCCAGAGTCCCCACCTTTCAGGCACTCGGGAATCCTGCTATTCACATAAACCAGAGCTTTCTTTTCTCCTCAGCCTGAAAATGAGCCAGGCGCTCATGGATGGTATGGTATAGAAAACCATAAACAGTGTCCTAAATAGTTGAGCTGGTGCTATTGGTTGTCCCAGAATTCTAGGAGAGCATCAGAAGCAGCAAGATGTGGGTACAGAGGGTGGGTGGTGCCTTCTGCTGGACCAGGATGTGGCATAGACACAGAGAAGAGCTCCAAACACTGAACAGGTCAAGCTGACCAAAAGGAGGGGCTTGAGACTGACAGCTGACCTCCTCCTTACATCCCAGATAGCTGGGCTCCCTCTGGCCTGTTTTTATATTTAGAAATAGAGGCCTCTGTGGTCCTGGGTGACCCAGAATACTGTCTTTGGATATGGAGAGCTTCTATACTCGGTGGATATGAGAAGGCAAGTGTCAGCATTGGCCAGGAAGCCAAGGGAGTGGGGTGGGTCTGTGCTGCTGGGACAAGCAGGGCAGAAAGTGCCTGCTGGCCTGGCGATCCTCTATTAAAAGTATACATTTCCCTAAGCAGCAGGCTTTGCTCAACTGGCATGAGCGCACTGAAGAACACAATGCAAGAGAGGGACATGGCAGCCTGGCAGGAGCTTAAAAAGTCAAAAAGAGAGGCAGGGAGACCAGGAAGGACTATTGCATTCATTAAGGAGAGAAATTACAAGAGTCTGAACCAAGGCAGGGGCAGTTAAAATGAGAAGGAAAATTGTCCTATTATGTAAGATATCAACACTAGGGGAAGTAAGGTGAGGGATAAAGGAAACTCTCTGTGCTATTTTCGTATCTCTTTTGTAAGTCTAAAATTGTTGTTGGGGGCTGTCGAGTTGATTCCAACTCATAGGGACACCATGTGACAAAGTAGAACTGCCCCATAGGTTTTCTTGGTTGTAATCTTTACGGAAGCCAAGATCACCAGGTCTTTCTCCCACAGAGAAACCTTTTGGTTAGCAGCTGTGCACTTAACCATTGTGTCACTAACCATAACCCCTTGCTGTTGAGTCGATTCCAACTCATAGTGATCCTATAGGACAGAGTAGAACTGCCCTATAGGGTTTCCAAGGAGCAGCTAGTGGATTCAAACTGCCAACCTTTTAATTAGCAGCTGATCTCTTAATCACTGTGCAACCAGGGCTCCATTGCATCACTAGGGCTCCTTAAGTCTAAAATTAATTCAAAATTAAAAGTTTAAAAAAAAATGAAAAGAAAAATATAATGGAAAAACTTGATGAGTGACACACTGTGTGTATGGTGGGAGGATAACTGGACAGATGATGCTGCCTTCCATGATAGCAACTATTAGAGAGTAAGATTTCAGGGGCCTATGAGTTGAAGAGTTTCATTTTGAAAATGCACAGATTTGTGGCACTTGGAGGATATCTGAGTAGAAATGTTGATATTCAAGAGGAATTTGGTCTAAAGATAGGATCTCACTTAACACACTGCATTATATTTAGTTGCTTTTATGTCTGTGTTACCCACAGTATGATGAATCTAAAAGCAGAGACTGCCTTGGTGTCCCCACATATTCACTGAATGTTTATTGGGTTGAGTTCGACTGTCACCTGTGGTGGGTCAGATCCCTTTACAAGGGCAGAATTATGGATATAGGGGAGCTTACGAGTATCTCTAGGCACCTAAAGAAAGAGAAAAGAAGTCATGGTGAAGGGTAATGATATACTGGATTCCCTAGGTTAAATGAAAATTAGAATGGCAAAATTACTTATTAATTCAACAAAATTTACTGTATGAGAGGCTTATTGAGGAGTAAGAGGTGGGGCACACAGGAGGGTGAGATATGATTCTTCCCCTCAAAGAGTCTGTGATCTCACTAGAGGAATAAAATGTACTCACAGGAAACAGTTTGATGACAATGCAAGGCAGTGTGGGGGTGATATGCAGAACAGACAGATAGACATCAAGGAGCAGATTGGTGTGGCCGGAGAGCTTACAGGAGTCTTCAAGGAGAGGAGGGTATGTCCAGGATGGGCGGAGAGATCTCAGGAGAGAGAACAACCTGAACATTTCAGGTAAGGGGTAGAGGAAGTCAGGGAGTCCGAGATCAGCTTGGGCAGTGGAAGGGCCAGGAAGGAGACATGTGCTTACGATGCTAATTTCAGAAAGTCAAATGTAACATTTGTTTCACTTATTTGTCTTCCATTCTCACTTGTTTTTTTCTGTTTCAGGTATTATTAGACTGTTTTATTTTCATAAGGAAGTTCTTTTCCTGATCAAAACCATCAATGAAGCGGTGAGTTCCTGTTCTTTTTCACCTAAACCTGGGCCAAACTCTGTAGCAAATTAAGTTTACTTTGAATATGAAGGTGATGAGAGCTGTCCTAGACTAGAAAGGAATAGAGACCTCTGTGGTCAGAGAGCCTCCTCTGAAATATGCAATTAAAAGATCCCTCACCATCGGGGTTGTTAACCAATGTCATAAAACAGTATGTGTACTGACTGTTAATGAGAGATTATTTGTTCTGTAAACCTTTACCTAAAGTACAATAAAAAAAAATTTAAAAAAGATCCCTCACCATCAGAGGATACATGCTAAATGCTCTGGATTTAGTTACACTGCTGTCAAACATAAAACTATAAAACCTCTAGAAGAAAACATAGGAGAAAGTCTTTATGAGCTTGGGTTAGCAAAGATTTTTTAGCTACCACACCAAAAGCACAATCCATGAAAGAAAAAAAACTGATAAATTAGACTTCAAAATTTTAAACTTTTCTTCTGTAAAAACACTGTTAAAAGAAGAAAAAGACAGGCCATAGACTGGGGAAAAAAATTTGCAAATCGCATATCTGATAAAAGAATTATATCCAGAATATATGAAGACTGTATGATTCAACTTCTGCAAAACACTAGGAAATGCAAACTAATTTATAGTCACAGAAAGAAAATCAGCAATTGTCTGAGGTGGGGGTTGGGGGAAACAGGAGGCAGGGATTACCAAGAAGTGTAAGAAAACTTTTGGGAATGATAGATATGTTCATATCTTGGTCATGATGATGATTTCATGAGTATATACATATGTCAAAACTTACAAAGTTGTACACTTTAAATACGTGCAGTTTATTGACTGTCCGTTATACATCAATAAAGCTGTTAAAAAAAACACTTCTGCTCATCAAAAAATACTATTAAGAAAATAAAAACGTTGTAAACTTTCATTTAAAGTACAACAATGAAAATAAAATATTAAAAAAAAAGAAAAAGGCAAGCCACAGACTGGGAGAAAAGTCTCAATACATGTATCTTTTAAAGTATTTATATCCAGAATATATAAAAAATTCCTTCAAATCAATAATAAAAGACAAATAACCCAGTAAAAAAATAGACAAAAGACTTTAACTGACATTTCACAGAAGAAGAATATGAGTAACTATCTTAGTTACCTAGTGCTGCTATAACAGAAATACCACAAATGGATGGCTTCAACAAACAAATTTATTTTCTCATAATTTAGGAAGCTAGACGTCCAAATTCAGGGCGCCAGCTCCAAGGGAAGGCTTTCTGTCTCTGTTGACTCTGGGGGAAGGTCCTCGACTCTTTTCAGCTTCTGTACCTTGGTGATCATGAAGATTTTCAAGTGGCATGGTACCTACCTTCCCCCAACTGCCTGTTTAAGCTGCTCTTTTGTATCTCAAAAGAGATAGACTCAAAACACTGCCTACACTAATTAATATATATATATAATATATATATTAATATAATATATTAATATAACAAAGAAAAACCCATTCCCAAATGGGATTATAACCACAGGTATAAGGGTTAGTATTTACAACACATATTTTGGGCACACACAATTTATTTTTTTATTGTGCTTTAGGTAAACGTTTATGGCTCAAGTTAATTTCTCATTCAAAAATTTATACACATACTGTTCTGTGACATTGGTTGCAATCCCCACGATGTGACAGCATGCTCCGCCTATCCACTCCCAGTTCCCTGTGCCCATTCGTCCCAGTTGCCGTCCCTTCCTGCCTTCTCATCTTGTTTTTGGACAGGAGTTGCCCATTTAGTCTCGTATATTTGATTGAACTAAGAGGCACATTCCTCACGTGTGTTATTTTTTGTTTTATGGGTATGTCAAATCTTTGTCTGAAAAGTAGACTTCAGTTCTGGGTTTAGCAGAGTGTCCAGGGGCCGTAGTTTTGGGGGCTCCTCCAGTCTCTGTCACTGGGGACACAATTTAATCCATAACAGCAACCAATAAAAAAGAGTACCTAGCATCATTAGTTAACAGAGAAATGTAAATCAGACATCACAAGCAATACTACTACACACTTATTGGAATGTCTAAAATTGAAAAGACTGACCAGACTAAATATTGGTGAGGATGTAGAGCTATAGGAACTTTCATACATTGCTGGTGGAAGTGTAAAATGGTACAACCACTTTGGAAAACAGCTTGCTCTTCTCATAAAGTTAAACATGTGACCCATCAATTCCATTCCCAAGAGAAATGAAAACATGTCCACAAAAAGATTTGTATAAGAATGTTCATAGCAGCTTTATTTATAATAACCAAAAACTGGAAATGATCAAAGAATGCATAAAATTTTTTTGTGTATTAGTTTGATGGAATACTGTTCAGCAATAAAACAATGAACTAGTGATATTCACAACAGCATAAGGAAACTCAGAAACATTGAGTGAAAGAAGCCAGACACACAAGATTACATTCTGTATGATTCCAATTACATGAAGCTTAAGAACAGACAAAACTAATCTATGGTGGTGATGGAAATCAGAAAATTGGTTGCCTATAGAGTTGGTAATTAACTGAAAGGGGGCACAAGGGAGCTTCCTGGGGGATGGTAATGTTCTGTATCTTGACTGGGTGGTAGTTATATGGATGTATACATTTGCCAAAACCCATCAAGTTGTATATTTAATATATAGGCATTTCAGTGTATTTAAATTTTATTTTAAAAAAAGACTCTCTAAAGAAAAACACAAAGGGAGCATTCTTTAACTCATCTTATTAGACCAGCATACTTATGACATCCAAACCTGAAAGGTACATTACCAAAAAAGTACCATTAGTAGATTAAAAGATACCAAAAATGTTTTAAAATCCATGAATTTATAATATTTTTTAAAAAAATTTTGTTGTCACTTTTGGAGATTACAAACTCAGTATTCTGAAAACTGATAAGAATCAAGCACTTATCCTGACTTTCCTATACAGGCTGTATTTCAGGGTAAACGAAAAGTTGATGATGGAAATATTTTCTTTATAGAAGAATTCTAACAAATGCGGAAGAGATTATAGAATTGGGTTATCACAATTTTGTGACTATTTTGCGTGGTCTAGGCAAAAAAGTAACGGTCTAGGCAATGACTGAACGGCTGATGGGGAACTTTAGAATTGATGGGTCAGGATGACAGTGTCTGTTCTCAATGATCAGTCTTAACATCACTACTTTAGAGAAGAGACAACCAGGTATTATAAGCCTCCTGAAGTGATGCAGTAGGGAGTACTCAGCATACCTGTGGAGTACTCTTGTCTAAACAACTGAACCTACATCTAGTCAGACCTCTAGATCTAATCACTAGTTTACAGGAAATACAGGCTGCAGAGGAACATGTTAAATGGCAGCGTGGGGATGCAATCAGTCCAATCGGGAATGTGAAAAGTTCTGCAGGACAGATGACCTGATTTCTTCAGTAAAAATGGAGGGAGGGAACTATTATAAATCTAAAGCAACTTAAGAGCCATGTAAGTAGCCCTGGTGGTGCAATGGTTGAAGCGCTAGGCTGCTAACCTAAAGGTCAGAGGTTTGAACCCAGCAGCTGCTCCGAGGGAGAAAGATGTGGCAGTCTGCTTCCGTAAAGATTACGGCCTTGGAAACCCTATTAAAAAAAAAAAACCCATTGCCATCAAGTCGATTCCGACTCAAAGTGACTCTATAGAGCAGAGTAGAACGCCCCATAGGATTTCCAAGGAGCAGCTGGTGGATTCGAACTGCTGACCTTTTGGTTAGCAGCCAAGCTCTTAACCACTGCACCACCAG